ACTAAGCAAGCATTTGCGTGGGAAAACCAGAGCTGGTTTTGTTTCTTCAGTGCCAAAATGGTGTATCCAATAAAGTTTTACTTTTGGGAATTCAAAGCTCCTGAAAGTGTTTCCTTGTTTTGGGTTCACTAGTCAGACAGTTGACACATAGGTTTTCAGCATATACTTTTATTATTCTTTTGGACTATTTATTACTTAGCAGTGTTTCCATATCTAAAGGGCTGCCACAAAGAAGAGGGAGTCAACCTGTTCTCCAAAGCACCAGAAGGCAGGACAAGAAACAATGGATGGAAACTAACCAAGGAGAGAGCCAGCCTAGAACTAAGGAGAAATTTCCTGATGGTGAGGACAATTAATCAGTGGCTTGCCTCCAGAAGTTGTGGGTGCTCCAGCACAGGAGGTTTTTAAGATGAAATTGGACAACTATTTGTCTGAAATGCCCTAGACCATCCTGCAGGGGGTTGGACTAGAAGACCTCCAAGGTCCCTTCCAATTCTGCTATTCTGTTAAGATTGGATAGTTATTAATTCTAATAATTTTTGGTCTTTTTACTTGCTCCTTGGAAAATGAGTCCCGCTCTCCCTTTCAGGACATCAGATTAATTAATTGTTTGCTTAAACTCTCTCCCACAGTGGTGTTTCCAGATCCTCATGAGTTTATTTTTTACAATGTGGTGTAAATTCCAATTGATTGGCCCTAAAATTACATTTACTTGTAATTTCCCTTTTATGAACACAAATTTACTCTTGTTGTCTATAATTAAACTAATAATCCTAAAGTCCAGTGGATTTGCAATCCAATTTGCTATTCTTTAGGGCCTTAAAAGTATCTCTGCTTAAAAAGATTCTTCATGGGTATTTTTAACTTTTTGGTACATTTCCTGTGGCCATAAAATATTCGGCTTGCTTTCCTTCAAGGCTTTATTAACTATTTTGTGCTCAATTTGTGTCCATCATAGTTCCATAAAACAGCATTCACTACTTTACAAAAAGGGACAAGTGCATATCCAGTGGTGGGCTGCAACTGGTTAACAACCGGTTCTGTGACCGCTTGTGTGCAGCGTTCAAAATACAGCAATTTGAAGCTCAGCTGCTTCTAAGGCAGCCCGGGTAAGTAGAACAGCGGAGGTGTGGAAATCAGCTGTGCCGCACAATTCAGCTGAGTTCTGATCGTCAGAACTACTGGTTCGCCTGAACTGGTCCAAACCAGCAGCAGCCAATCACTGTGCATATCACAGTAAGGTAATTTGAATAATTTGCAAACTCTCCTTTTTATTTCCTTCTCTTGCCTCCTATCACCCTACCAGGGATGGGTTCTACCCAGTTTGCAGCGGGGCCGCGCACACGCGCTCTTCTGCGGATGCGCAGAAGCGTTTTGATGACATCAGGGTTGGTGGGAGGAGCCTCCCACTGGTTTTACTACCGGTTGTATAGAACCGGTGCGAACCGGGGGCAACCCACCACTGCACCCTACATCAAACCCACCACCTCCAAAAATGTCAAAAGAATTGTATTCAGAGACCCTCTTCTGGGGTTGCAAGTTCCTTCATGCAAACAACCTTCTGTCTCTTCCCCTTGATCCCATAAATATATAGGTAGCCCTCAATTTACGACAATTGAGCCCAAAATTTTTGTTGCTAAGTGAGACATTTGTTAAGTGACTTTTGTCCCATTCTATGACTTTTCTTGCTACAGTTGTTAAGTGAATCACTGCAGTTTTTAAATTAGTAACACGGTTGCTAAGTGAATCTGGCTTCTGCATTGACTTTGCTTGTCAGAAGGTTGTAAAAGGGGATCACGTGATCCCGAGACACAGCAAGGGTCATAACTATGAACCAGTTGCCAAGCATCTGAATTTCGATCACATGATCATGGGGATGCTGCAATGGTTCTTAAGTGTGAAAAATGGTCATAAGTCACTTTTTTCAGTGCTGTTGTAACTTTGAACAGTCACTTAAATGAACTGTTGTAAGTGGAGGACTACCTGAGAAGAATTCTTGAAAAATAAAGACGGGAAATCTTTATTTCTTTCTCTTATTCCCCCTCTTATTTATAAATTATGTATTAAATATTAAATGTAATCCAGTACTTCCATACTCAACATGATTCCCTCCTAAATATTTATTCCTTTTTATTGGAATTTCTTTCCTCCTGAGTTGATCCTCCGTTCTAGTTGAAGATCTCTTGCCATGCTTGGTTTGTTAATTCAAAATATATTAGCTTCATCTCGTTCAACGTACAGTAGAGGTAATTTTTTCTTCACCTTTAAATTAAAAATTAAACCAGAGGGGAATGTTCAGTGGTAGGTTTTCTAAGGAATTCATTCAAATATTTCAATTAACTCCTTTTCTGGAGACTTTTCAGCAGGCATTTCTTGATGAACGTGGACTTTGCAGGGTATCCTTTCATTGTCCTAGCCTTCTGCATAATATATTTTTAAAAAACAGGAAGTGAGAATTTATGATTGCTCCATTTTTTTTTTATTACCCAGGAATTTCTAGCACCTGGATCTCCTATCTGGAACACATGTTCTGTATCCTGAGGATTCTGAGAATAAATCATTGAATCGATTTACTCCAAAGGATTATTTATCCCATTCTTTATGCAATTCTTTAATATTTTAATCCCAGTGTTGCCATAGCAAAACTCATCTTCCAAATATATAACTCTTTCATATTAGCCTTGCAACCTTCTTTTGGCTGCCTGGATTGAATTTGAGTTCTTTTCAAATTCCTTTATTTGCACGATCAGAAACACTTGAAGGCAGGACAAGAAGCAGTGGATGGAAACTAATCAAAAAGAGATCCAACCTCAAACTAAGGAGAAATTTCCTAACAGTAAGAACAATCAACCAGTGGAACAACTTTCCCCCAGAAGTTGTGGGTGCTCCATCACTGGAGGCTTTCAAGAACAGACTGGACAGCCATTTATCTGAAATGGTATAGGGTTTCTGCTTGAGCAGGGGGTTGGACTAGAAGACCTCCAGGGTCCCTTCCAACTCTGATATTCTGTTAAGAGGGGCTCCAGGTGGGCTGTGAAGGGGACCGCTCCTCCATTTGTCAGGCAAGAGAGTGGCTGCTGCTAAGAGGAAGGGAGCAGGCAAGAGAAGGAGCTTCTCCTACTAAAAAGAGAGAATAACAGAATAAAGTTATTCTGTAAAAAGGACAATTTAGGAAATTTCTTCTTGTACTTATGAAATTATTTCTGTCCATTCATTAATTACATTTTTTTTTCAACTCAGCCAGAATTTTAGTAAAGAGGGAGGAACAGTTTCATTGCCTTCCTTAACTTCTAAATCCTTCATATCACCCTTACTGATTGTTCCTCCTCCTCTGAGTTCTGTTCCAAACAAATCTTTATTTTCTATTTTCTTCTTAGAAATGTAGTACCGTAGATTTTTTTTCCCCCCTTTAATGATTTTTTGTTCTTTCGGACATCCTTGAACATTTTGAGCTTTGTCGGGAGAGGAATAAAATGTTTTTTCCCAGTGTAATTAAACTGGGGAGATGCAAGGCAGGCCGGAGACAAATTTATCCAGCTTAGCATAAAGGCTGCGTGGGTGGAGTTGATCAAGCATAGATCAATTCTGTTCCATGAGTGTAGTTGGATCCTCAGAATAAATGAACAAATCATCCAGATGAACTATCACCTAGCCTGACCTAAAAGATTTATAAATCTTACACAGATATACAGATTGAAAGGTAAATCAAAAGCATTGCCATGCTTTCAAATTTTTCAGAAGAGATATTTATGGCTCTTCTTCATCCAAATTACAATATAGTGCATTTTCTGACACTGGTTAAAAAAAACATGCTTTCTGTAGTTGTACTAAGAATTTAGAGAACAGTGATTCCTAATGGTTACAGAGCCACATCGGAGTGTGGAAATGGCCTTGACGAAGGTATCAACACCAGCTCAGGTATGGAAGGGATGAGCGAGTCAGAAAGAATATTAAGATTGCTCTGCTGTGATTTTCTTTGGTATGAGAGTTGAGGATAGAATCTCTGTCAGGCTTTGAGATACCTGTCTCAAAGGTGCTTTTTCCAAAGGCAACTGGACTGTTTTTTCCTTGAGGAAGAAGAAGAAGAAGAAAGGATGGGGAGCAGTGGTAGGTTGCTCCCAGTTTGCACCGGTTCAGAAGAACCGGTAGTAAAAATTTGTAGTAGTTCGGAGAACCAGTAATAACATTGGCTGGCCAGGCCCCCGAACTGGTCCCAGGTCCGGTCGCTGCTCGCTTACCCCGCCCACCTCATCAGAGGCTTTTTTAAAAAAACTTTTAGAAGCATTTTTTCTACAACCTCTTCGGCCGAAAAAATGCTTTTAAAAGTAAAAAAAAAAAAAGCCTCTGATCGTGCGGCTCAGCTGGGATCATCAGAGGCTTTTAAAAGCATTTTTTCTACAATTTAGGCATTTAGAGTTTAGGCTTGCAATCCTAGCCATGTCCAGGGGACATCGCTTGGTGATGCGTGTCAGGATAGAAGCAGAATGTCCCAAACTCATTCTTAGGTCAGAAAGGCTCCTGCAAGAGCCTTGGTACTACAGGGGTTTAAGGCACCCTGTTATTAAGCTGCTTAAGACCAGCTGCCTGCAATTACTGCAGGGTTCGAATCTCGCCAAGGCTCAAGGTTGACTCAGCCTTCCATCCTTTCTAAGGTAGGTGAAATGAGGACCCAGTTTGTGGGGGCAATAAGCTGACTTTGTATAAATATAAAAAAGGATGAAGGCTATTGCTGAGCACATTGTAAGCCGCCCTGAGTCTTCGGAGAAGGGCGGCATATAAATCAAATTAAAAAAAAAAAAAGATGTGCAGCCTAAGTAGACTAATGGCAGCAATTTCTAACATATTTCACGAATGTATTTTATTTATTGGCTACCCAATTCCAGTGGGGTTCCCCAAAGAGCTCCAAACACCCCCACGCAGCTTTCCCCATTTATTTTCTCCACCCCCGTTTTTATTTAACCGGAGAGCCACCGAGGGCCCAAGAGACAAAGCCACCATACCAGCCATCCACTCCGGCTTTCTGCAGCTCTGAAATGCCAAAGGACAGAGATCCCATAAAGTCATTTCTGCTGGTCAGATCCCAGTCCCAGATCTCCACCGACAGTCGCCTGCCCTTGTCGGATTCTTTCAACTGGCTGGAAAAAACAGAGGGAGGAGGAGGAGACAGAACAGATATTAAGATGCTACTTTCTAGCAAGCTTCCATGCATTCCACCCATCAAGAGTAGCCAGTGCCCTTAATGCTGACATTCTAAACTAGGGATCTCCAAACTTGGCAACTTTAAGACTTCTGGACTTCAGCTCCCAGAATCCCCAAGCTAGCTGGCTGAGGAAATCTGAAAGTCCACAAGTCATAAAGCTGCCAGGTTTGGAGACCCCTGGTCAGACAAATGAAAATGTTCAAAAATGTCAGTTTCGGATGCCACAATGTTATAGTATATTTTTCTGAGTTACACTGACTGGTGGAGGGGAGGGGGAAAAATCCCACTTCCCCATTCTCTTTCTTAAAATGCAACATTTTTTCCTCTTCATTAATTCTAGGAAATTGCAGGTAGTTAAAATCCTGCCTTGAGGCATCTGAGCCTGCAAACTATAATAAATTAAGCAGGGATGGATGTGAGATGGAGACCCCTGAAAATCCCAGAAAATTTGGCAACAAAAAACAGACAGAAGATGGAGAATGGAACGATGGAGGGACATGTTAAATCTAGCTTTACTTTCATGCGTGGCAGTCGATTTCTCTCCTCGGGCACCCTGACAGCTTGAAGCTCAGCACGGCTCCCTTCCTTGCCAGCACTTTGCCTCTTGCAGAGAGGCAGCATTGGCACAGAGAGGGATTTGGGAATGGGTTCCACCCCCTTAATGCTATGCTGCAGCAGGCCCCACGCTGAGGGAGAAATCTCAAAAGATTGCCCAGGAAATTAAGGCAGGGAGCAGAACTTCTTGGAAGACTCCTCCTTTTGTGGAACACCATAGTTCCACCTAGGTTACTCTTGTCTATGTTGTGAATAACAGAATAACAGCGTTGGAAGGGATCTTGGAGGTCTTCTAGTCCAACCCCCTACTCAAGTAGGAAACCCTATACCAGTGATGGCTAACCTTTTCCGGACCAAGTGCCCAAAATGCAATGTGCGCGGTCCCCGTGCATGTGCCCTGCCCCTGCACATGGAGCCCTGCACGCACCCCTGTGCATCCTCGCACGCCCTCTATGCCTCACTGCCCCTGCACATGCCCTGCCCCCTCACTTGCGTGCGCAGCCCCATGCATGCATCCCGCCCCCCACGCATGCACGGCAGAGACCCGACGAGCAGCTGGCTGGCGAGAGGCATGTGTGCATGTGCGGCAGAGCTGAACTGGGGCAACGGCTCATGTGCCCACAGAAAGGGTGCTGCGTGCCACCTGTCGCACGCATGGCATAGGTTTGCCATCACGGCCCTATATAGTACCATTTCAGACAAATGGTTATCCGATCTCTTCTTAAAAACTTCCAGTGTTTTTGGAGCTGTCTATGTTCTGCAATTGGGGAAGGGTCTTTTTCTTCACCTGGCATGTGAATATGGGATTTTCTGCCTGGGTTCTGCCTGAGTTATAGTCCCTTTCTAGTTACCTACACAGTTGAGGATCTGCAGGAAGGGATGACATGAGATTGTCCAGCAATATTGTCCTCTTTCTTGACCTTCTGTTTTAAGATATGGCTAGCAATAGCAATAGCACTTATATACCACTTAATAGTTCTTTACAGCTCTCTCTGAGCGGTTTACAGAGTCAGCCTCTTGCCCCCAACCATCTGGGTCCACATTTTACCAACCTTGGAAGGATGGGAGGCTGAGTCACCCTTAAACTGGTCAGGATTGAACTCCTGGCAGTTGGCAGAATTAGCCTGCAATACTGTGCTGCATTCTAACCACTGCGCCTCCATAGCTCTAGATGCCCCAGATACCCAACATCCAACCTTCAAATGTTGCATCTAAGCAATACTCACAATTGGAAGGTCTCATTCCACTCAGGGTTCAAAGAACATTTGATAGTTTTAGTCTTCTGTTTGCTCTCGCTTTTTGGGTCAGGTATGAGTTTGAGTTTCACATATGGGTCTGACAAGCCATTGGGATCCATCGGAACAAGGTTTTTAGCATCCCGTACTAAAACAGAAAGAAAAAAAAAGACCTTAAATGGTGCAAAGGGCAACAATATCCATTCTCTCGTGTATTTACATGAAGGAAAACTCAAGGGGCTCAATTTGTGGTGACATGTCCTGCCACAGGTGAAGCAGATTTAAGTCCTCCAGAACAATTACATACAATGTGGCTTATTTGCAGAAAAAATAAATACCCACAGCCTGGAGAGTCATTATTTTCTGTGCTGTGTTTGTGTGTATTCAGTACCATGGTAATCCACTCTCCAATTATCCCGCACTCCATGTGCTGGCAGATCTTTATATATTCATTTCTTTTCAGTCTTTATTTTTAACTCAGAATCTTTTAAAATGGAATTGTCTTTTGCTGCTCCTCTGAGTCACCCAGAGGTCTCTGGTCCAATGGAAAAAAAAAAACCCTTCACAAGGAGAGAAAAAAGAACCTTCCCACTGGTGTTTCGGACTTAATCTGGCCATGTTATCTGTGCAGCATCCATTCCATTTAGGATGTCAGGAAGCAGTGAGAGAGAGGGAAACTCTGCTTGTCATCTTGGTCCAAGCCTCTTCTCAAAAGACACAATGTTCTCATTGAGAAACAGCTGCTGAAGCTGCTCAGCCATCCCTTAAGTGCTACTTATATAACAAAATGCAAATTAATAACATCCCCACCATTAATAAACATCTCAGACTTGGGCCAAGAAGACAGGACTGAGTCCAGCCACTTTCTGGGTGAACAGTCAAGGGCATTCTGGCATCTGTAGTAAGGAACACCCCGTATCCAGAGATGTCAGGAAGAAGGGGGGGGAGGCTGCCATTTGACTCAATGATGCTATGAAGATACCCATTATTGGGCTATCAAAATGTCAATAGAAATGAAGAGCAACTTTGCTGTAATTAAAACGTGATGAAGCAAGGAACTAGAACCATCTTGAAATAAAAGAGATGGCCATCACAAAATTATTCTTATCTAAGAAATCTCTTGCAAAGAGTCTCTGGTCTATTTCAATTAACAAATGGACAATTATCTATTCCATGAATATTATGACACGTGGATCTATTTATGCCCAACAGTGTAAAATGAAAGATTTTAGAAGGAGCCCAGAGGAAATGGAAAACACAAGTACTGCACTCCAGAACAATGCCTGCCCCTGAAAGAACAGTCCACAGATGGATGGATGGATGTCACTTCTTCAATATCAGCAGCTGGCAGAAAGATGTATGCATTTAATGCATACTACATTGCAGTGAATTTTCCATAGCCAAATATGCTAATTGAAAGATTAGCCCTTTAATGGCTTTTAGCAAATACAGGCAATCATTGGAGATTAAGAAAAATGGGAAGGCCCAGATCAAATCTGTCCAAAATATTTGGGTTTTATTGAAGTCACCAAACCCAAACAGCTGATGGAGGTCTATCAGCAGAAGCTGGACCCCATCTATTTGGGATGACTTCATTTGGATCCCTGCCTTGACTGGATAGCTTTGAAGATCCCCTCCAATGCCATGATTAATAAAAGCCCAGCCACAATGCACAGATCACATTGGGAAAGACACAAGCAGATTCAAGAGGCTACTGGCATCCTTAATGAGAAATGACAGCGACACTATTTCCAAGAGAAGACGCCTTCCTTCAGAAAGAGAGAATGTTGTCCAAATGAGAGCAGAGCAGACACATTTGCATAATAGAAGGCAATAACAGTTGCAAAAAGGATTACGGACATACACAACTTATGTAAATAAATTTTAAAAGACATGGGAAAATGCAAATAGCCAATCCCCGGAGAACAAAAGACTTGAAGAAAATCTGAAAGAGGATAATGAGATAGCACATCAGCTGAACACCGTCTGTGCACCAGTTTCCATTGAAGATGAAGGGCAGCCAGTATTCATTTCTCAACTGATTTTCTCAAGAATGTGTTTTAGGAACTCAGAAAAACCTTGTAACAACAATGAAGTTTGCATCTTTACTGACAAGCCCGTTGCTCTTCTGCGTTCCGGTGCGCTGGCCAGCAGGTCTTCATGCACATGGGAGCACCCGAAACTGGAAGAGCAGCTGCCCAGTGCGCATGCGCCCACCGGGAAGATCATCATCCGGTTTCCAGCGTGTGCATGCACACCAGCCACCTGGTCTTTGGGTTTCTGGTGTGCACATGTGCACGAATGACCTGGTCTTCGTGTGCGCATACGCATCAGAAACAAAAAGATCATGTTCCTGGCATGCGCATGCGCACTGGGCGGCTGCTCTTCCGGTTTCCGGCACTCCCACGTGCATGAAGACCAGCTGGCTGGCGTGCCAGAATCCGGAAGAGCAACGGGCGATGGCTTGCGTACCTGGAGAGATGGCTCTGCATGCCACTTCCAGCACACGCGCCATAGGTTTCCCATCACGGAACTAGTCTGACACTTTCTAATGTTGACGTTCTGCTGTTCACAAGTTACATCCATTCAATTGTCCATGACAGACAATTGCTTGGGAATTTAATTTAAAATCCAGATGGGAAGAGCTCCTCTGTCTTTTCAATCTTGTAACATTGTTTTGTTTTACTGTAGAGGCTTCTTTGAACAAAATAAATGCATTAACTGTTGTTTGCCAATTTTGAAAGACTTTGGGGGTTGAAATTAGCACCATTTGAAATTTTGAAAAATATTTTCAGGGACCAGGCTAGAGACTCGCAGACCATGAGCTCCAGTCCTATCGTGGGAAAGAAGGTGGCCAGGTGAGCCTCAACAGTCATTCCCTTGAAGTGCTAGGAAAGAGCCAACGGCAAATCACTTCCCAGATCTTGCCAAGAAAATGCAGGGATTTGTCCAGGCAATCACCAGGAGTCCACACAGACTATATATTCATTTTAATAGTCACAACCGATTCTAATCAGGAGAGTTTTTAAATTTTCCACCTTTTAAAACCTTTTTTATAAACTTCTCTATATAATTTTGTGCAATTATTTTGAAATATATCTTTGTTACTGCCTGACAAATACAGTCCCAAATACTTCACTGAATCCTTTGTTCTCTGGCAACCTGACTTTTTCTGCACAAAGCTTTCTCCTTCTTGGGATAAATGTCTCATTATTATCTTTGATTTTTGTGCTTAATTTTATATCCTGAGAATTCACCAAAACCTTTAATTGTTTTCATCAGCTGTCTTATCACCCTTTGCAGCTGCATAATAGTTAGTACTACTTTGTCTGCATAGCATTTTAATTTATATTCCTCTCCTTGAATCTTAATGCATGATATTTGCTTATCTTTTAGAACCTTATTGGCTAATAAGACTAAAGCGATTGCAAATAGTGAAGGAGAAAATGGACATCCTTGTCCTGTAGCTTTGCTTCCTGAAAAATCTGTAGAAAGTGTTCCATTAGTCATGATCTTTGCCCTCTGCTGCTTATAAATGCACTTAACTCAAGCTTTCAATTCTTCTTCTGGATTTCGTTTATTTAATACTGCAAATAGGAATGACCATTCCAAATTGTCAAAGGCTTTTTCTGATCTAAAAGAAATATTGCTGCTTTTTTCGCTTCTTGTAGATCTTTTCTATTCCTTTTATTATAAATCTGCCACTGTCCTTGATATAACCTGCTTAATCCATCTGTATTATCTGGAATATAATTCTGTAAACATTCAGCTATTAGTGTAGTAAAAAAATTGTAATCAACATTCGATACAGAGATTGATTTTTATGTGACTTGAGTTTTTCCAGATGATTGCTGTCTTACAAATCAAAGATACACCCGCTTCTTTTTATGTCTGTGGTATTTCTTTTGTTTCTATCATTTCATTTTGGTTTAATCTTCCCCAACACAATTCCACTAGGAAATTGTGAAGAGCAGGATGAAAAAAGTGGATTGAAGCCTGAGAGTTACAGGAACATGGTTGGGGAAAATCTGTTTACTTTGAATGAGTTTAAACTCCAGGGACTGATGAATAGCATTCTAGGGTAGTGAAATAGCTGGCTGATGTATAGTTGAACTATTACATATTGCATTTAAGAAACCCAGGAGAACAGATGGATTTAAGTTACCAGAAGGCAGATTTTGTTTGAATTTTAAGAGCAAAATTCTGACAATGACAGCAGTTCAGCAATGGAACCAATTATGCAGAGAGGTGGTGGGCTTCCTGTCACTAGATACATTCAAACAGAGGGTGGACAACAATCTGTTCTGGATGGTTTAATTAGGATTCCCAGAGGGAGAGACGAGGTGGATTTGACAGCCTAAAAAGAATCCACTCCCGTTCTACATTTTATCATTCTATTGCTTGAGAAACAATAATAGAATTAATTCTTAACAGAAGGAATCATGTGTACCTCTTTACTTATGCCTCCACCAGTGGTGGGTTGCCCCCGGTTCACACCGGTTCTATAAAACCAGTAGTAAAACCGGCAGGAGGCTCCGCCCACCGACCCCGACATCATCAAAATGCTTCTGCGCATGTGCAGAAGAGCGTGCACGCACAAGTGAAGCAAGCACACGCGCACGGCCCCGTTGCGAACCGGTAGTAAAGGTAAGTAGAAACACCCCCCCCCCGGCCTCGACCATATGACTGTTATGTTACTGCAAAGAGTTGTGGACTAGCATGGAAATAAAACAAGGAAACAGAAGAAATGTACCTCAAGAACTGTCTGGTTTGGCACAGCAACCAAACAGGACAGATACGGACTTCAACGGATAGTTAGAACTGCAGAAAAAACAATGGCAACCAGCCTGACTTCCATTGAGGACTGGCATACTGCATGAACCAGAAAGAGGGCTGAGAAAATATCTACAGACCCCTCCTCACATCCTGGACATAATTTATTTGAACTTCTCCCCTTGGGATGCCACTATAGAGCACTGCCTGCCAAAACAATTAGACACAAAGATAGTTTTTTTCCTCCATGCCATCGCTCTGCTGAACACCTAATTCTCACAGCTCTGTCTTAAGTCTGAAGATATTTACCCATGTAGTAAGACTGTACTACTATTATCATTCTCATCTTCTCATCTTTCCTACTATCTTTTCTTA